CCCCAAAACCCCAAAACCCCAAAACCCCGTGAGCGGTGAGATATATAGAAGAAAAATATTAAAGATTAATTATGTATTTGATAATATGGTGAGTCCTTTGTAAAATAATCATGAATTGAAGTGATATAGATGATTTCAAAGATTTATTTTAAGTTAATAAATGAAAGGAGTCTATTTATTCTTTCTTCACCCATTACAAGACAAGTATCTTGTTTTGCAAACATTTTGTGATAAGTTGAAATTTTTGTGTCTACAATAATTTCGGACTGGAATAAAATTGCCAATAGTGAGATATAACCCAATATTTCCAAGAATCCTTTGAGAGAGGAATTATTAAAGTAAACCCTTATTGAGTATTTAGTCAAGAGGAATCTTTACCCATACTTTTAACTAAAAGAAGAAGTGGGAGCACTAATATTGCTCAATACCAGCATAATTCTGGGTTAAAACATAGAAAATTTTAAGTATTTCTGAGCCCAAGAGATGCTAGATATTTCTTGTTTGCAGCAAACGATTCAATTTTCAAAATTTTGATAAAAATTGTAAAAATCTGAGGCTTCTTATTTTAGTCAAAAAAGAAATTTTCCCAAAACTCTATTTTTCTTAAAATATGAAAATTCTGAAAGTAAACACTCTCTAAGCTATAAAGCTCTGAAGCATGTTATGATTAAAAATATATTTATTACTCAAAGTAGGCGTCAGAGTAAGAGCCTAGGTAGATTTTTAAGTATTATACACTCTCTAAAATTGTCATGACTTTTGGTCAACGATACCCTTACTAAAATCAAGTTTCATTACTGGATTTTAGGTTAAAATTTTCTGTGATGTAATAATGGGTGTCCTCTTTATTTCAGCCTCACAAGGTAATTCTCTGGTGATTTCTTAAGCTACATTTTGTTCTGAAATCTCCCAAATTGATACCACTAGAGATATAGATGGCATGGGAAAAGTCTTAGTGAATAGCATTCACCGAACTGGTGAAAGCACTAAATATTCTAAACTTATTAAATTTAAGTTGCTGAAGTGATTTCGATAGCAAATATTATTCAAGGAGCTCCTTAAGATATGACTCCAGCTAAAGACAATTTGAAGTTAGCCAGGAGTAGAAATTTGTAGTAATTTTTTTTGAGTAGTAGTGCTTTTTTTAGGACTGAGACAAATTATCATTTTTAATAGATTTCTAATTTTTGTAAGGATGCTAGGTTATGGTCGAGTAGGGCCAAGTTAGGTTAGAGGATGGTAAATTAGCTTACAGTTATAAGCATTAAGTATTTTTCATGACCTAAGCTATCACCATGAAATTTAGAGTATATATTTTAATAATCCATTCACCAAAATATGTAAATTATTATACCCAGAAGGAGTACGCAAAGAACTCTCTTACTATCTTGGCCTAGGTCAAAATTAGCTTTTAGTTATCTCTAAACCCGCAATGATGTGTTTCAAAAAATATTTTGCCTTAAAAATATGTAGAAAATGGTTTACGATTTTCATAAAACTCTAATTTAATTCTCTTTCTTTCTTTTTGTCATCCTCTGAGAAAAAACAACTAAGGCATCAAAAATATAGAAGTTTAAAAATATTATTTTCTCTGAATTTCTTCTTAAAATTTCATTTTTTAATAGTAAGCCTCACGATTTTATGTCATCAATAGATGCTACACATTTTTTTATGGTGGCCCAAGACTTGTATAAGAATGGTGAATGGTAGCTGCATTATTGTTAAAGTATAAAATACGGGTCTAGAGTTTGGGGTGTTGGCGGTGTTGATCCAAAATATTATAAGAAGCTCTGTGATGCTGCTGGATTTGATCCAATACTCCAACACTAAAGATTCTATATCTGCATTTTTGGGGTTGGTGGTTGTACAAATGGAGTGATGAGTTGATATTTTTAGTGGGAAGTAGAACACATCTCTTTCAACTCTTCGCCCTACTCTATCATAACTTGATATGCCACGCACCTAGCTAATTGTTCATATCATAAATTTTTAAGAAGGTATTCGAATAATTAATACTAATTTCACGCATATTACATGTTCATCTAAACTGATTCAATTTCTGAACTCTCTTTACCGATTGCTTAGCTTGATATGCATACAAAAACTGGAGGTTATTTCTACTTTATTATAATTGAGTAACAGAGCATTCTTTCTTATCTGCTTTTGAGTTTTGCTTTTCATCGAAATTTTTGGAAGTCTTCATGAAATCCGATGAACGATATTAATGTTCAAGTTCTAGAGATACTTAATACTGGTAAATTCGTAATTTTAAGACTACCTAGTTGTGAACAAGAGAAGCTTAGAAGATGTTATTAAAGTTTAAAAGGCAGTATACAGCTCTTGATATGCTCTAAAGACTATCAAATTTTTAAAACTCCTTTACTACTGACTTCTGATGAATTTTTGAATCATATTTCTGAAATTTTCAGAAATCAAAAGAATAAAATTTTCTTATTAAAGAGTGGGGGTCATTATTTTTAATGTAAATTTTTTGTACGATAAATATTTGAATTGTTTATATCAAATTTGGTCCTCAGAAGTTTATATTTGTTCATATTTGATAATTTTGGTTACAATCAAAAAATCTTTCTAATCTCTTAAAATTTTGAAAATTAACCAATGATATAGACTTGCACTTTTATTGAAGTTATCTTTGGCGGCACAATGCCCCGCAGGTACAGATACTTCTACCAAGATCAAGAGCGCTTCTTTCGTCGATCTAACTTTTCTTAATGTCGAAGTTATGAATGGAATCTCCTGTCCAGACTACTCGTGCAATTATTTGACAGCAAATGGAAATCTACTAATCACACCAAAAGCAAGAATTTATAAATTTGATTCAGACTTTAATATGGTTTGGATGCTAAACTTTGACGGAGAAAATATTGCAAAGAATGCTATCGCTCTTCATTCTTCTGGATCAAATTTAGTGGTAACCATGAAGTCTTCATCAGATTGTCCTCTTGTAAAGATAGATAGCACAACTAATACTATTACAGAAGAGATAGAATTAGGAGCTGCTATTAATTGTGATTATCTGACCTTCTCAAATGATCATTCAAGCATCTATGTTTCAGGCAAGCTTTTATCAACACCTCATGTGTTCAAAATTGGATATTCAGACTTTTCAACTACATCCGTCACAGCAATTCCAGTAAGCCTAAACTCCGTGTATTCCATTCACTCTTATATGAGCTCAAGCCAAGAACTCTTGATGATCACTGGCTCTGTCACAAGTCCCACCCAAGCTTACAGCCTACTCTCGGTCCAATATGACACAGCCACTCAGCAATGGGCCAAGAAGATTGGGTGTCCAGCCTCTTGTGTGCTGAGTGGAGCCAATGACGCTTTAATTCTGGAGTCAAACAACAAAGTTATCAGCTATTTCTTGGATACCGAGCCAATTATATATGTGAGCAACCTCGATGATGGGGCTCTTGTGGGGTCATATGTGCCTGACTTCACACAAACCAACTTAGAAATCAGTAGTATGGCCTATGCTACTTCATTTAGCAAAGTTTTTGTACTGATGAAATATAACAATGGAGCATACAAAATTGAGTATGATCCCTCTACGAACTCTTTCTCTAATGCATACGTGAGTACTGCAATTCTACCAGGATGGATACTTGAGGCTGGAGGTCACACTCTGATAGGATCTGGAGTACCCTCCTCGTCTTCAGTTATTGCAATGTCTAGATTGGCTTCAAATGGAATTTATGGGCAAAACACTGAAGTATCTTTTGTATCAACAAGTGGCACATTTACTTCATTAACTGGGTATTCATACTCTGACGATGCCTCATCTTTCGTGAGTTCTGGCCCATCATCTATCACCAAAGGATTCTCAAGTGTCACTTCCTTAGTATTGCTTCCTTCTCTTCCTACAAGTGATTTGAGCGGAGAGAGTGAAGTTATCTTTCAAGGAGAAGAATATATCCTTGATACGACAGTAGAAACTACTGGAAACATTCCAAATTTCTTTCCATGATCCATCAGTGGAGCAACTTCAATTAGTTCTATCATCGACACCCACTCAAATGGAGAACCTAAACCTGCATGGGTAACAGTTGGAGCTGACTCTTTGTCCTTTGATTACACAGTTCCATCATCTGCAGATGGACAGACATTTTATTTTACTGGCAAGAGTACTGTTGATGGAAAGGTATACCTCAGAAATGTTCAGATAAACGTAGCATCTGTTCCAGTTACTCCTCCAACCCCTGTAACTCCTAGTCCATCCTCTACAAATCTTCCATTAAATTCTTCAGAATGTGATATTAATTACTGTAGAGAGTGTAGTTCTTCTGAATGCACTGCTTGTATTGATGAATATACTTTGACTAACAATAAAGCATGTGTAAAGATAGAAGGGGTCTTAAGTTTTAACTCTTCGTTGATAATCACTGGGTTTACAGGAACAATGGTAACTTCAATTGTGGCTGGAGCTCTATCTGGCTCATCCTCTTATAGCATGTGGGCTTTATTCAATCAGTTTCAGCTGTTCATGATGATTCCATTCTTAAGAGCATTGCTTCCTTTTGAATTTTTACAAACGCTTAAAGCTCTTGAAACCAGTATTCTCAACATAAATCTGCTAAACACTAGAAGTCTTCCAGTTTTCAAACAGATTGCAGAAGAGATTGATTACACAAACCCATACAAAGAGTTCAGAGATAATGGATATGGATCAGGAAGCTCTCTAGTCTATTGATTCGATATAGTTGCCTATTTTATTGGAGTAACTTTCTTGGGCTTTATCTCGTATCCATTTATACGAATATTCTGCAAGTCTAAAACCAAAGGATGCAAATCTAAAATTTATGATTATTTTTGTGATTTATTTTGATTTAAATTATATTTGAGATACTTCCTTGAATGCTTCTTGTTTATATGTGTTATCTCAGTAAGCGAGATCACCAGAGCCACTGATGCTCCGCAGAATTCAATCTCTTACAGTGTAGGTGTTGTGACAACTTTTCTTCTGCTCTTGTTTATGGCTCTTGTCCCGATTCTATATTTTAAGGTGAAAAATCCAGATGAAAATAAATATGTGAAAGAACTTTTTGAAGGCTTCAAAAAGCAAAAATTAGCGCAACTGTATAACTTTACGTTTCTTTTGAGACGATTCTTACTAGTAACAGTTATTGTGGCTTTTAGATCAAGTGATATCATGCTCAAGCTTTTAATATACATGCTTTTGCAAATTTTATGGCTGACTCTTGCTGTAATTATCAGACATCATGATAAAAAGTGCCCAAATATTATTGAGATCATCAATGAAGTAACTTATTCCATCATTATAATGCTGATAATAATCTTACAAAAGCATAAATCAAGAAGCCTCGAAGTCTTGCTAAACAACTCAATTATATTCAACACGATGACAGTCTTCTTCATTAGCATCATTAATCTAATCTATCAGATAGTAGTGACCTGTAAATCCAAGAAGAGGAGAAATATAGTGAAGCCTTCAATAAAGATGGTGACTGTGAAGAGTAGCCACAAGCTACAAGTCCCCGAGAGAAATTCTGGATTGGAGGTTATTAAGTACGCTTTATTTTGACTTTCTTCATTTTGGATGTCATATCTTGGTTTAAATTTTCTGATATCTCTTTTAAATTATTTTAAGAATTCATATATGAATCTGATTGGTAGTTTTAATATGAAGAATGGCTCTGTAGTAAAAATTTAGCTTTATTATTTTATTGAGAGCAGCTATTAGGCCTCTCTAATTTCTAAAATTTACACTTTATATCTCGCATAAATTAATTTCAAATCAGTAAATTGGTGGATGAAAAAAATGAAGCTTTCTTAATAAATCGTTGACCTGTACTAATTTGTAATATAGGAATCTATCAACTTCGATGAAGCCTCACAAAGAAGACTCGTCTAAGAATACTAGCAGAGATATTGAGAATAGCAACGAGCAAACCAGAAGAAGCTGGATAAGAGCCCAAGAATACCCTGTGTATAAAAAATCCCAGTTTAGTAGAAAGAATCTTGATGAGGTTCAGTGAGAATCTTCAAGACAAATGAACCTACCTTTAAACCCCATAAAGGCCTCACCTCCCTCAAGTCCTCTAAACCAAAGACCATCGAGGCCCTCCCAGATGCCGTCAAGCACCAGCTTGCCTGGAATGAGAACCCCTCGTTCTAATCGTAAATAATCCTATAATATCACTATACTCATAAGCTGTCTCGCTAAGCCAAGTTCGAGCAGGGCTTAATGCGGTAGAGAAGTTTATAGATTAGGATTAGAAGGAATTAGGCTATGAAAGGAATTAGAGATGTTAGGAAGGGGATTGGGTGGATACTCTTGGCATATATTCATCAAATTTTGAACCAAGAGCAGGTTTAGCATTCCTTCAAGGCTAATAGTATCAAACGAGAAGCATCATCTTTCTTATTGCCAAAATTAGTGACTGGTTCTTAGCTTATTCGTATATTTGGTTAGTATAAGAACTCTAAAGGTTATCTGGGCTTATTTAGAATTAGTAGAGCTTGTGTATGGTTGTATTGGCTTCGGGTGTTCTTTATTAGCTAATGATTGAGAAATTCAGGCGGTGAGATTGCTCAATTAGTTTTTAAAGACTAGAGTATTGAAGTTATTTACCAATTTTTTTTATTTTATGACCATCTCCTTGCTAACTCCAGTATAAAACAACTCTCAAAAACTCACCAAACCATCAAACTCCCACTACTCTCCCTCCTTCCTCCCTATCTCCCCAAAAATTTCCCAATCTCCACTCTAAATCCATTTTCAATTCCAAATTTTCCACCTGGGGTTTTGGGGTTTTGGGGTTTTGGGG